AGTCCTTCATCAGATATATGAATTGCAAACATTTTCTCCCATGCTTTGGGTTGCCTTTTCATTTTCTTGATGGTATCCTTCGAAGCACAAAAGTTTTTAATTTTGATGTCCAGCTTATCTATTTTTGTTGCTGCTGTTGCTTGTGCTTTTGGTGTCATAATAAAGAAATCATTGCCTAATCCAAGGCCATGAAGATTTATACCTATGTTTTCTTGTGAGAATTTTATAGTTTTAGCTTTTACATTTAGGGTTTTGATCCATTTTGAGTTAATTTTTATACATTATGTGATATCCATATCTTTTTATAGATGCAGACTAATTTTTTTTTCTTTTTTTGTGCTACGCGGGCCTCTCACTGCTGTGGCCTCTCCCGTCGCGGAGCACAGGCCCCGGACGCGCAGGCTCAGCGGCCATGGCTCACGGGCCCAGCCACTCCGTGGCATGTGGGACCTTCCCGGACCGGAGCATGAACCCGTGTCCCCTGCATCGGCAGGCGGACTCTCAACCACTGCGCCACCAGGGAAGCCCAGCAGACTAAATAATTTTGAGTTGAATATACGATGATTGTAATTTAGAACACTTCAGAAAAAAACAGATGAAGCAAATATAGCAAAATTGTGACAGCTGCCAAATCTAGGTGATCGGTTTATGGGTGTTCATTTTACTCTCCTCTCTGTTTAAAAAATATTTTTCTTTAAATAATAGAAAGTAAAAGATATAGAAATAAAAATCGGAAAAATACTTGATTATGAGTGAAAATGCCACTACTTGAAGAATAAACTTGCATCCACTTTAACTTAAATTATTTATAAACATTAGCATTTTATAATTAGCTGTAAAGTGTCAGACTCCTAATAAAAACACCTGATAGAATGGATGCATCAGGGTGTCTTGGCATTGCTCTTAGGAACCAGTGTTCTAGAGCTTCTCACTCTAATATGGCAACTACCAGTCACATGCAGATGTTGAACACTTGAACTATGGTAAATCTAAACTGAGATGCGCTGTAGGTGTAAAGTATACGTCATACTTCAAACACTTGGTATGAAAAAACTGGAAAATATCTAATGAATAATTTTAATATTCATTACAAGTAGGAGTAATAATGTTTGGGGATATATTAGGTTAAAGTGTATTGTTAAGATAACTTCAGTGGTTTCTTTTTACTCTTTTTAAATATGGCTACTAAACATGTAAATTACATACATGGCTTGCATTACATTTCTTTTGGACAGCACTGTTCCAGAGAACAAAGGGCTGAGCTAGAAGGTCTGCATTCTAATCCCCTTATTGCCTTTTACTAGCCATGTGACTTCGGGCCATTTCTTCCATTTCTCAGCCCTAGGATAGTTGAAAATAAATTCATTCAGAAAATATTTAGAGCTCTCACTATACAGAAAGAACCTGGCTAAGTGATGCGGGGAATACAAGATGTGAAACTGTTCACAAACTCAAATGAGTGCTTTCCCATTTCAGCCCTATCCATGAGTCAATGAAGACAGAAGTCAACAATGGAAATATCTTATCATTTTAATTTTCTCCACTAACATTTTATCTTAAAGTAATGAATATTTTATAATATGTTCATGGTCTAAGATTTTATGTACACATAGTAGATGTTCTTTTCATCCTCTGGGTCTTGAGTCTTTGAACGTGTGTTCCATTTTCTTGGGGGCTTCCTCAACTCCACATTCTGTCCAAGAAGTCAGTGCACTGGGGTAGACAGCTGGTGGACTGGTGGACCTAATATTCATGCCCTTATGTTGTCCCATACCACTTTGACGCTGGTCTTGGCCATGTGCCTTGCTTTGGCCAATGGGACATTAGCAAACAGGATAAAAGCAGAGGCTGGATGAGCTCTTGCTCATTGAGGCTTATCTTCTTAGAACCCTCTTTCTTGGAACCCTGCAGCCATGCTGTGAGGAAGCCCAAGCAGCTCCAAGGAAAGGCTCATATGGAGGAAGAAAGGGACAGTGGTTTGTTCAGACAAGTGGTTCTTAACCTGGGGTGATTTTACTCCTTAGGGGACATTTAGCAATGTCTGGAGACACTTTTGGTTGTCACAACTGGTGGGGAGGTGCTACTGGTAGAGGCCAGGAATGCTGCTAAACATCCTACAAGGAACAGGACAGGGCCCACAACAAAGAATTACCCAGCCCAAATGTCAGTAGTGCCAAGGCTGAGAGGCCCGCTCTGGACCAAGGTCCCCACAACCTGGATGCTGTGGATCAAGGATAAAGGGGCTTGGGAGAGAAAGTGTTCACGCTTAAATAAAGAGCAGCTTTCTGGACAGTCTGCTGCTCATGGTGATTTTAGATGACTCTCATCCATCCCAGTGGGACATTTCCCCTGTTTACCCTCAGCATTTAAGCATAGTAACTCATCAAAGTGTTGTACCAACAACCATTTTATTAGTTGCCCCAACCCAGATATTGCTTCTCCCTGGTAGTATTGAAGTCATGGTTTGTGACAATTCAATCATAGCTTCCAAGTGCCCGACCATAAACAGACTTGGAGGACAGGGGCTTTAACGTCTACTGTTTTATAGAGTCCGTCCGTTTTGTTATCAAAGAACTGCAGCCCCACCATGCCAACAAGAAGCCACTTTCCCTCTGAGAAGAATGTGTATATATTTTGTCTATGAGAGAAATTTTAAGGACATAAAAATTATAGTAATACTGTTGCTAGTAAATTTTATTAGGAGAATTTAAAATAATTACATTGGCAGACTCATTCAATAAAAATTTTAAACATGTTTATGAGTATAAATCTCATTGCTATGGTAATTATCCATAGAATACATATAAGAAGGCACTGCAAGAAGGGGTTTCCCCCCCCCAAATTAATAGAGCACATATACATCTCCCGGCGGAATGAAAATGGGGCAGAGGTGCTGCCATAACTAACGCTTTGGACAGTTTTTTGGTAAGCAGGCAGGTGCAGGAGTTTAAAAGAAACACGTGATGTGCTAGGCAGTCTGATTTGCAAAGTACATGGACCCAGATGAAAAATTCCAATGATATGAATAATCCCAACAATCCCCCAAATCCCCAAAATATGAAGTCAGATTAGAGTAGGCTACAACCCACCTGCGAGTGGCCTTGTTGATGGAGAGCCAATTCTTGGCAACATTAGGTAAAACCCAGCCATTTATCCAACCTGTTTAATCTGTTTTCATTGAGGAACGTTAAACTGTGACCAGCATCATCAACGTGCGAGCCCTCCAAGCCCATGGAACACATTCCCTTCCCCAACATTTGGTTTGTGCCCAGAGGTTGGTTTGGGAGTGTATTTGCTTCTTGAGAAAGGCTTTTTGCTCCTGTCTGCAGGGAGGGAAGGGAAGGCGGGGCCTCCAGGGACGTGGAGGGCTTCGGCTGGGGGCCACCGGGGCGGACTGCGTTCCTGGGGTCAGGCCTTTGAGAAAGCGACAGGCAGGAGGTTGTGAAAGCTGGCACGAGGACCACCACATCTACCTAAAAATGAGGAATCTGGAGGGGCCTTTGTTCGATCGCACATCACATCGAGAGCAACCTTGCCCCCTCCACCTGGGGTCAGGGCTCAGATGGTCACTGGCGCTGTGAATTTTTCAAGAACCCTGGACAGTTCTTTTCTTTGACTAAGGACTGGATGGTAAATAATTTAGGCTGTGAGGGCCAAGAGGCAAAATGGAGAGGATATTATGTAGGTACTTATATAACAAGAGAGAAAAAAATTCACAATGTTTTTATTGATGAAATTCAAACTGTAATAATAGAGTACAATTTTTTGCAGTACACACCCACTAATGAGAGGAAAGGAGTTCCTTTCTGAAGGGGATAATGTGTCTCTTAATTGGGGTTCAATGGTATTGTAGCTATTATCACATACATACACAAATGTTCAAGTGTAAAATAATGCTTAGCTCTCTCGTACAAACAGGCAGCATGTGGATCTGGCCTGCAGGCCAGCTTGCAGACCCTTGTGATCTGCACCAGTGATCTGCAGTGGGTTTGGGGGTATTCCAGGATGGGGGTCGCTCCTGGTTGCGAGGCACCTTCATCGCCCCTCCCTCACCCTCCCTCTGTGCCCAGTTAACCTGGTTCATTGACTCTCCCCCGCGAAGCAGGACAGAAAGGTCAGGATTAGGGCCTGGAGCTCTCCCACGGAGCCAGGCCCTCCAGGGTTTCTCATCCTACAGCCCTCGGTGTGTAGCAGCCCACGCCTCGCAGCACCCGCCTCGCAGCACCCTCGGGCTCTTCCTCCAATCCTCCCCCCTCCCGCTCTCGCTCCTCCAGCTACTCCTCCCGCCCCCATCCTCTCCAACACCCATTCCCCTCCCGCCCCCCTTCCTCCCTTTCCCTTCCAGCTCCTCCTCCCCCGCCCCGCTCCCCCAGTTCCGCCTCCTGCAGCTCCTCCTCCGGGGCCTGTTGCGGCACTTTCCCACTCCACCTCCGCCTCCAGCTCCTCCTCCCTCAGCTCCGCCCCTCCAGCTCCTCCTACCCGGCCCGCGGCTGCGTCTTCCTGCTCTTCCCACCCCGCAGCACCTCCTCCCTCAGCTCCGCCCCTCCAGCTCCTCCTACCCGGCCCGCGGCTGCGTCTTCCCGCTCTTCCCACCCCGCAGCGCCTCCTCCCTCAGCTCAGCTCCTCCAGCTCCTCCTACCCGGCCCGCGGCTGCGTCTTCCTGCTCTTCCCACCCCGCAGCTCCTCCTCCCTCAGCTCTGCCCCTCCAGCTCCGCCTCCGGGACCCGCGGCTGCGCTTTCCCACTCTTCCCACCCCGCAGCTCCTCCTCCCTCAGCTCCACCGCCTCCAGCTCCTCCTCCCCCAGTCCCGTCCCTCCCGCTCCCCTCTCCCAGCTCCGCCCCTCCAGCTCCGCCCCCTCCAGCTCCTCTTAGCTCAGCTCCTGCCGGTGTCTGCCAGTCGCGCTTTCCAGCTCTCGCCACAGGGTTCCGTGTTACCGCCGCCTCCGCCGCCCCGCGCCGCTTGGAGCCCCGCGCCTGACCATGCCCAACATCGTGCTCTTCAGCGGCAGCTCACACCAGGACCTGTCTCAGCGCGTGGCCGACCGGCTGGGCCTGGAGCTGGGCAAGGTGGTCACCAAGAAGTTCAGCAACCAGGAGACCAGGTGGGGGCCGGGCCGGGGAGGGCGCTGGGCGCGCGGCTGCGGTGCCGGGCCGGCGCCGGCGCTTACCTGGGACCCCCTCCGCGGCTGCCCGCTCCGCCTTCCGGGGCGGGACGGCCACTACGCGGCCTCCGCGCCACCGCCGCGGCGTCCGGGAGAAGCCGAAGAGGGCGGCCCCAGCCCGGAAGAGCGACCTCCGGGCGGTCACAGGGCACGGGAGGAGGTAGGCGCAGCTGGCGGGAACCGCGGGGCACGCGGGGCACGCGGGGAGGGACGGCCCGGGGCGAGCGCGTTCCTGCCTGGCCGATCCCAAACCCCGTGCGCGCGAGGGAACGTCCCGCCCACGTCCCCAGCCCTGGCTGCGCGCTGGATTCGCCTGGGGCCGTTGAAAGTGCCTCTTACCCGCCCTGCCCCAGAGATTCCGGTCCGAGGGCTGCGGGGTCGGCTTTTTAAAAGCTCCCAGGTGACAGTCCTGAGCTGCCAGAGTGCAGACTTCTGAGTTCTCCAGAGGCTGTGGTCCTGCAAAGGGTTTAAAGAACCTGAGAACTCCAGGGCCCACGTGCTGGGATCCCCTGTGCTAACTTTTCTGCTTCAGAGATGATGGACTTTTTCTTTTCAGCTTCTTCGTCTTCCTGCGACTCTGCTGTGTCCCGCAGCAAGGCCATGGCTTGAATGTAACTGCTGCCCATGTCTCAGGTCCACAGGAAGCGGTCGCCTCTGTCCAGTGAAGTCAGGCTGGTGGCCCCCTCTGAAGCCGGACCAGCAGCTCCTTTTTTTCCACTTTCCTGAGTCCACGCAGCTCTTGACTAATTACAAGTTGGTCCCATTTCTCCCCCCACTTAAATATCTTCCACTGTACTCACTTACTGATCTTTTTTTTTTTAAGTTACCGATCGTTTTGATATCTTTGGCAAAGATTCAGTTCAGGCAACATTTCCAACAAGCGGTGCTGGAACAATTGTTGGCAGCTGCAAAAAAACCCCAAAAAAGTCCATCCATACTTCCCACCATTTCAAAAATGAACTTGAAATGGATCGCAGGCCTAAATGTAAAACCTAGAACTAGAAATTTCTAGGAGAAAACATCGGAGGAGAATCTTGATGCCCTTGAGGTGGGCAAAGATTGCTTAAATACCGAGGGGTTATTATTATTACATGGAGAGAAGGTGGAGGTTGCTGTTTTCAGCTTGTTAGGATATGGGAAACCCTTATTCCAGGTGGGAAATCACCACTGCATAACCCTGATGATAATATAAGTGAAGAAACATTTGTGAATGAGTATCAGGTGGTGTTACCGCACGAGTCCTTCAGCTAAAGAATTCCACTTGGCAGAGTTTTATCCAGAGGTCTCAGAGGAAGTCCAGGGCTCTGGAGAAGGATAGTGTATTTATGTTTGAATGCCACAATATCTGGCAGTCCTGTTCAAGTTGCAGTAGCTTTCAGAAGAATGGGATGATAGTTTGTCTCCTGGCGGCAGTGTCATATAAGTCAAGGAAAAATTTTTATTTGGTTTTGAGTATTTTATAACTACCACTCGATAATTAGAAATCATGAGGTGTGAGAAACCACTCAGCCTGAAGTCTGGGAATTGCTATATAGTTACATTTTATGTTTTTAATATCTAGACTATAAAAGGTTAACTTCCTGACTTTTCTCTTTCCCATGAACTGTCTAGGCCCAGAGGTGGATTCTTTTATAAGGAGGACTGTATCAGATACTGCACTAGTGATCCGGTTTTTACCGTGGGGTCCTAGAGGTGAGAAGCAGAAGGGCAAAGGAAGAGATAATTGATACAATTCATGTCCAGGGGCCCCTTCCTGAACCTCTCCCTGAACCTCTCCCTGAACCAAGACAAGAAATCTGGTGTGGCGCCTGGTCCTCAACTCCTCCCATTACCCATTTTAAAAACACTAATTGGACACAGAGCCTCATGATTTTACCTTCTCACCTCTAAATTATTTAAGGTCTGCAGGGAGACATTGGCTCCAGCTTTACAATTGACCACTGAAGGAGCACAGTGATGTCCTAGGACAGCACTGATGATGGTGTCTGAAAGTCTATTGTAACCCATTATGTTGGTCAGTGAACATGCCCAGAGCAGCTAGCTGGATCCTGAGACCCAAAGTTCTGGTTATCTGTTGTGTAACAAGTCACCCCAGAGCTCAACGGCTTGAAACTAATTGTTTATTTGATTCTCAGACCTGCAGTTTGGACAGGGCTCAGCAAGGAAGGCTTGTTTCTATCCTGTGTGGTGGAGGGGCTGGAGGGTCCACTTCTAAGCTGGCTCACTCACATGGCTGGTAAGTTGGCACTAGCTTTGGCCTGAGAGCTTGGTTAGGAACCTCAGCATCTCTCCCCACAGGGCTGCTGGAGCTTCCTTATTAGAGCGTGGAAACTGAGGTCCAAGCACAAGGATTCCAAAACACAGGAAGTGGCAGCTCCCAGTCTATTAAGGCCTGGGCCCCAAAGTCAGTGCATCGTCACTTCTGTCGCACTGTGTTGTCAAGCACGGAGTCCTCCCAGATCCGGGGAAGAGGCCATAGACTGCACTTCTTGATGGGAAAAGTGTTAGTCTGTGGCCCGTCTTTTAATTACCGCACCCATTCGTTGGTGGCTCAGATAAACTCATCAGCCTTCTTATTTCAGGGTCAGTAAAGAGCAGTGGACGCTGCCTCCTGGCCACAGTTTTTAAAAGACCTAGAGTAAAGATCAGTCGCAACCATCTTTATGAGTAGAAGCAGGAATAGCTTTGGGGAAAAGTTGCCATGGTGATTGTATGTATTTTCTGTCTTCCCCTGGACTGCTAGTCATATGGGGATTGAGGTTCCTTAGAAAAACTAGGCCAGAGAAGCTGAAATTCGGGGATTAAACAGTCATAACACCAGCAGTTGTTGGCAAACCTTTTCTGTAAGGGGCAGACAACATTTTAGCCTTCGTGGACCCATGGTGGCTCTGCTGCTGTTAGGTCTTACAGTTCTGTAGGTTAGAAGTGCATCATGGGTCAGTGTTGCTTTCTGGAGGCTCTAGGGGAGAATCCATTACCTGCTTTCCCAGCTCTCAGGGGCTGCCTACTTTGCTTGGCTCTTGGCCCGTTCTTCCATCTTCGGGACCAGCCACATAGCACGTCTCTGACCCTACGTCAGTCCTCACATCTCTTTCTCTGACCTCTTTTCTCTCCCTCTTCCTTTTTTTTTTTTTTTTCATCCCTGCTGCCTTCCTTTGTTAATGTCACTCTCATGTCTTGCCTGGGTGACTGCAACAGCTTTTTTTTTTTTTTTTTTTTTTTTTTTTTTGCGGTATGCGGGTCTCTCACTGTTGTGGCCTCTTCCGCTGCGGAGCACAGGCTCCGGACGCGCAGGCCCAGCGGCCATGGCTCACGGGCCCAGCCGCTCCGCGGCATGTGGGATCCTCCCGGACCGGGTCACGAACCCGCGTCCCCTGCACCGGCAGGCGGACTCTCAACCACTGCGCCACCAGGGAAGCCCTCCCTCTTCCATTTTTAAGGACCCTTGTAATCACACTGGGCCAACTACAATAATCAAGGGTAATCTCCCTGTTTTACGGTCACCTGACTAGTAGCCTTAATTCCATCTGCCACCTTGCTTCCCCTTTGCCCTATAAACGAACATATATATTCAAAGGTTCTGGGGATTAGGACGTAGACGTCTTTGGGAGGCCATTATTCTGCCCACCCCATTCTCAGCTCACGGGCTATTATTGACCCCTGAGCTTTATGATACTGTGATTTCCAGATTGACTTCACCTCGCAGTTGATGTGATGTTCACGAAGGAATTACACGTAGCTCTTTAGTACTCGGATCGGAGGGAGTATGTAGAATTCGGTCTGTCACATGCTCATCCCGAGGTTGGCATCGTACTCTTTCCATCCATGGCAGAGCACGTGCGAGGTTAAGACCCACTGTTATCAAAACTCATTTTCAGATCCTGTCAACTTGAAAAATGGCATTTTTGTCTTCTAATTATTCTGTTTAAAGTTGAGTAGAAGCTTCTGTTGATTCAGATAGACTGCTATATGGTATTCGAAATGCCATTTGTGTTTACCTTTTCTTAAGAAATAATTAGCTCTTTTAATAAAACAATACCATTGGGCATAATGGGTTTCTGATTGCAAGAGACGGGTTACAGGTAACTGTGTATGTATGCCAGTGTTGTGCTGACTCGTTCTCTTGTTGAACCCCCAGAATCCTGTACCTGAAATACAGAAGCTTCCTGGTAGGCAATTTTCAAAGACTTTAGCTCCTATTTGCTTTCTCAAGAAGCTACTGGAGGATGCCCATCAGTAAAACAAGGAAGTGCACCAAGAAAGGGTACAGAAAGTGGGAACTCGAGGGCAGGAAAGGGGTGGAAGCAATCCCCAGGAGACAGCTGTGCACAGCTGGAAAGAGAAGGCAGCTCAGGGAGAGACTCGGGCAGGCCGAGGAATGGAGATCACGCTCGAGGCCTTTGACGTTGACATTGTGGGATTTAGTTTGTTAGCCAAGTGTTGAGGCTGCCATTTGTATGCAGTACTCGGAAAACTTAGTAGTTGAAGAGGTTGGATAATTTCCTCCAGGGTAAACAGACCCCCAAAAGTTGTGCATAGAAGGGCAATACGAACTTGGTTTTCAGTTTACTGAATGACTCAGCTCTGAATGGCACTGACACAGTTAAAATTGTAGCTCTCAGATTTAGTTGGAAAATGCTGATCGATGTGAGGAAGATGGCAAGATGAGATGGGAAGGCTGCACACGGGTGCGGGCGACGGGTTGGGGAGGAGATAGGGGTCAACACGTGATGCCTAGGATGAAAAATCCAGATGAACGGGCTTCCCTGGTGGCGCAGTGGTTGAGAGTCCTCCTGCCGATGCAGGGGACACGCGTTCGTGCGCCGGTCCGGGAAGATCCCACATGCCGCGGGGCGGCTGGGCCTGTGAGCCATGGCCGCTGAGCCTGCGCGTCCGGAGCCTGTGCTCCGCAACGGGAGAGGCCACAACAGTGAGAGGCCCGCGTACCGCCAAAAAAAAAAAAGAAAATCCAGATGAAGCAATACAAACGTAAGGGAGGGACTTTGAAAATAAATATCTAAAGACCATGTCAAGAGTTGAAATTGGCTGCCTCTGCGCTGTTTATTTGTTTTAAGCCTTACAGAACGGATTGGAGTTTTTTAAGCAATGTGTTATGTGTAACGTTAACGAAAGTGAAAAACTAAAATACAGTATTGAGCCAAAAAGAGTTAATGTAACAGGCCTGAGACAATTTCTGAAGAGCATATGGGATCCCCTCATATATGGAAAAGGTCCCTTTGCAAGGTGGCCCTTGGCTGGCTTCTGGGAGCTTAGCTTTCGTGAGGTTTCCTGCCATTCCCTGTGGGAATAGCTCACTGCTGAACGGTGTAAACCACGTGGTTAACACCGAGTCCCTGGCCCCCCGTAAAACCCCAGGCACTGAGTCTCTAATGAGCTTCCCCGGGAGACAGTGCTTCACGTGTGTTGTCACAGCTCGTTGCCGGGGGAATTCACACGCCCTCTGTGACTCCACGAGGGTAAGGACTCTTGGAAGCTTGTGCCTGGTCTCCCCAGACCTCGCCCGTGTGACTTTTCCCTTTGCTGATTTTGTTCTGTCTCCTCTCAGTGGAAGAAGTCATACCCTCGAGGACCACTGCCTGCCAAGTCCTAGGGAATCACAACCCTGGGGGTGGTCACAGGGATGCTTTCCTATTAATGGGTGGCATGTTCCTTCCCCTAGCGTCGAGATTGGCGAAAGTGTGAGGGGAGAAGATGTGTACATCATCCAGAGTGGCTGCGGAGAAATCAACGACAACCTGATGGAACTCCTCATCATGATCAACGCCTGCAAGATCGCGTCATCCTCCAGGGTGACCGCCGTGATCCCGTGCTTCCCCTACGCCCGCCAAGACAAAAAGGACAAGGTATGGGGGCGGGGCTCCTGTTGGAGGAACCTGCTCTGCCTTAACGGCTACGTTGATTTTCTCACTTTGTACCTCTGAATCCCTGGGAAATGCCTGCTCTCTCCTGTCAGGATGGAGTAAATATGCCTTCTCTGGTTGGCTCTACCAAAGGTTTGTCTTTGGACCAGCCATGACGTTAATATTTGTACATATAGAAACAGAGAAAGTGTATTTTTGCAGGTATGAAAATACCATTGCTATAATATAAAATTATTATACTTTACATATAATGAAAGTGGATGAAATTATTGTGTACCTTTGTGGTGGTGAATAGAACTAAACACACACACACACACACACACACACACCCTG